ATCTACGCGCAAGAAGTCGTAACAAAACCAATTTGACTCAAATCTGATGCGTGTCTGTGCATGACGGCCTTATGTTGGGAACTGACCGGGTAAAATGTCATATGAGACGGACCAAAAATAGATTACGGAAGGCATTGTCGAAAAAAAAACACGTCACATATAAAAGTTTTGCAAATAAATCGTGTACAGCTGAAGTTGGCGGAACCACTGCTTCGACAAATGTTGCGACAGTACCTTGAAACAGGCCACGACAACTTCCCTCAACACGCGTTCCAATTCCCCGTCAGAGGCCTGTACAGACGGTAAGTGGTCGCCACTCCTGAATCGTGTTTAATCTCGACCCAGAGACCCGCTGTGGCCTTACCGAAGTGTCGCATGTCGCAGCAACAGTGATCTTCGACGACTGCATTTCCAGCACAGTACTCCACTTCCTCCCTAGTGCAGACTTCACATCCCGGGCGCCCGTCACCTGCAACAGCCCGAATCGGACAACTCGTATTCAAGAATCCAGTCCGTACCGCGAAGAAAACACTTCTCCTCACCATTACAAAGATTAACTGGTTAACGCTGTTTAAGGAAATAATCGCTGATTACACTCAGAATCATACAAAATGCATGAATACAAAACGTAGATTTGCTTACTGACTGTCTAAGCTGGTGGTACATATAGTTACCATTTGGCTTTAAAGGGTTAAATGGCTGGAACATTCCATCACTACTGAGTTCTCTGTATCCACTTATCCATCCACCAACGAAGAGACTTGAATGTGGGGGGGGGGGACATACAGTCACGTGATGACTCTTGTAACTTAAAACACTTTGGTGAGAAAAGAACACACGAATTTAAAAAAAAAACAGCTGACGACTTGTAAGCGGACTTCTTAGAAAGAAGCTCAAACGAAGGTAGTCTCACTTTTCGCGGTCGAGTGACCTCGTGTTGCGCAAACCGCGTTCCTTTGTTCCGTTCTACATACCCGCCCTTCCATTGTTTCCACACGAAGAAGCTTAACAGCGAACTGCTGTTAATTATGACGAATCCCTGGCCTTCATCTCGAAATTAACATCGATTGTATTTATGAGAAAAACCTTGTTCAGTGTTGGGTATGTAGCACGCATGGGGCAAGATAAGAAATGCGTACATCTTGGCCAAAAACCCTGACGAAGTGGCCACTTGGGACATTGGGCCCTTACAAAACACACAAGCGTTTCCTTTCTAATCCCTTTCACAGTCGTCATGAAGAGACCTAACCACGGTCACGTCACATTAAAATGTACATAATAAACTGTTCACGTGATTCAACGTCGTTAAATAACCTGTGGACGAACCAGTTTGGGTTCGTGTGAGACAGAACTTTCTGATAACACGTACTGTGGCTCTAGAATGTGGCACGTGTGTGAATAATAAAGAATAACGTTTCTTAAAATGGGGTTTATGAACAGCTGTAGAAACACGGACACGTAAACCTACTTCCGCAGGCAGCTCGTACTTCCTGGAATCTAATCTACGCTGTAAGCAACTGCTGTTTCGCAAAGGGAGATAAGAAATTCATGAAATGATAATTTTCGAACATTTCTTAAAGATTTCAGGGTGTGAACTGAGATACGGTCCAGGGACGGGTTCTTCTGAGTTAGGCAAACTCGGGAAATTTACTGACTGGACGATAGACAAACCGAGCCTTCTGACTTTCGGGTAAATTGGGGATACAGCGTAACGATACGAACCAAATTCAAGCTTGCCAAACAAATTTGTGCGCGGATGTTGAATACATGATTTAATTTAAATCCTTCAAGAAGTTTCGTAACCGAGGCATCCGGCTACGCAAGCAAACATGTCCCCACCCCACCCCCCAAAATACTTTCATCTTACGCTCTTAACTTTAAAGAGAACTTTGAATTGTAATTTCTACCAATTGAAATGAGGAAGGGAAGCCGATACAATTTTTTCTAAATTGATGGTGGAGTTAAATTCGACATTGAAACGACATGTAACCCTGTCCTTACCTGCGACTTCCCTCGGAGACAAAGAAAACATGTCCATTGCCACGATCGTCATTGCATAACACGTACAATTGCTCAAATACAACGCGCTATAGTTGAACTAATGACGCTCGCATTAATGAACTATGTCCATGCGAACATCGGATGTCTGCGAGCAAACCCTTTCAAGTGACTTCTAAAAACCATGAAATTCCCCGCTGTTAATGGAACCCAGAGTTTCAGTCTATCTTCGTCACTGGACCCTATTCTGAGCCAGTTAAATCCCATCTACACCATCACATCACATTATTAAGACCACTTTTAACACCATCTTTGAGTTCGTGCCTGTAACCTAAATGGTATTAAAGTTTTCGGACCAAAAAGTCGTACGCTACACTAATTTTCCTCATGCCTGATACTCGTTCCGCCCAGCTGTTCTCATTCAACCAACGTGACAGTGTTACGATAAAGGATGAAGTTCCTCGTTACGTAATTTTCTCCAGTCCTGTTATATCACCTTTTTGTCTCTCACATTCAAAAGACCTAGGCGAGGATACGAGGATAACAGAACAATAAATCTTAAGTAGAAAGATCGACAATGGTTTATAACAATAATACTGATCAAAGCTGTCAGAAGACTCAAAAGTATCACAGACAAGTACAGAAAGAAGAAACCTGTTTTGTTTTGTTTTTTAAAAAATACAAAAGACAAGAGTGCCTTTTCGTTTGAAACCGCTGTGTTAGACTGCTCCCACAAGCTTGCAAGATCCATAGGTTACTTCGTCATCCTTTGTTATGTATTTCAGTTGTCACGAAACGAACCAAGCTCCTGATAGCGTTTTATCACTGACGGCACAGTCATGCTTCGCTGAGTTTCTCTCCTTACGCAATCCTACACCTCAGGCAAGGCGGTCGGTCGTTGTGGACGAGAACTTTGAGTTGTTATTCATCCTCAACCAGCGCATAAAACAAACGATTTCTGGAGCCAGACAAACCACGTGACAGAAATCGGTAACTGCTCATGCGCGGTTTCCGTCCATTTCGAGTCGGTCAGCTGCCATACAGAACTTCGTAATGCGTCCGAGTGCACTCTTTCAACAATGGCGCCTGAATCACAACGCGGGTTTCTGGCTTACACAGACGTAAACATGAAAGTAATATTAAAATTGATATTAGGAGAGAGGGGTTGGAAGGTGTTGATTGGATTCATCTGACTCCACCAAGGACGACAATGAACTTCCGGTTTCCACGGAAGGAGAGAGATTTCTTGGTCATAACCTATAAAAGTTCCTGTTTTATAACGATTTGTGTGTTATGCATGGCCAAGTCCTCTGTAATGACACTAGATGGCAGAATGTTGTTTTACAAGTGACACTGCCAGTAAGAAGCACTTCCAAAAGTGATAATGGAAATGAATAAGCAATTCTTTGTTAAGTTACAACGGTCACTTTTTCTGAAGCGTTTAATTGATGAAAGTATCAGTCCTGATTGGCCATTATATATTAACAATGGTCAAAGTTACAAACTTCGGGGGGGCGGTGAAACGAGTGTGACACACGTGGACAGACACTGTACTGTTCAGGCACTGCTTGGGAACTTCACGCGATAAGCACACGGCTGTATATACGTGCGTTTGTAACACGAAAGGAAGGAGTGTCCCACATTTTCTGAAATATTTTCATACTCCAGCGACGTAATCCGGTACGCAGACTGACAACGGATTTCCTTAGCAGATGGCATTTGCCGTTAACGTTTAAATAAACAGGAAATGACACAACAATGGGGAGAGCGGCGGTTAGCCGACTGGATGTGCTAAATGAACTCACGCTGTAGAATACGCGAATCTGCCCTTAACAACACGCACTTAGGGTACGCAGCCCGCCATGTTGCAGAATGTCCCCTCAACTTTAAAAAGAAATATCACAGTTATCGATTTACATGCAGGAAGAAGTGATGGAATCGTTTATGTAGCACGTGTGGAAAGTTGGATTCAATGCTCCGGACGTACAACCAACATAACCTCAACCAATGTTCGCCCTGTACGCTACTGAGCAAAGCTTTTGTCTGAAAGCACTTGCTGATTGCAGCGCCAGTGATAGTTTGACGTCTCGACGACGCATTCATGACGAAGACTTCGTTCAAAACAATTTCCAATCCGTCATCAACATCTGAGCATTCCATTAGCAGGGTTACATTACACAGCCCAAGAATTCAAGGATTTTGTCTCTGCACAACGCAATTAATCACTTACTTACTGAGCTCAGGGTGCAACGCGCTGGCCACTGCCCTGGCTTCCCCTTGTTCCACCCGGTGTTCCACGTATTTCCCCGTCATCTGCTGCAAATCCAAGACCGTTTTCGGCACAGCTGCCGTTGCCAGAGGCAACGCGAGGCCCACGTACAGCAGCGAAACCAAAGAGACGCTGGAACGAAACATTGACCCACTGCGGTCCGTCGCCAGCCCGTGCAGACTTCTGTAACCGACGGACTCCTTGCGTTCGGTGGATCGCAAGTAGCCACGACGACCATGTGATTGTCTGGAGGCGCGGACTTTGCTGTCCCACCCACCCGACACCGCAACCAATTTCACCGTCCATAGCTCATACTGCTGGATAACTCTTACGTCACTCTCCCGTCCCCACTACTGCACTATTTATCACAGCGAATGTTGCATTGAGCTGAAATTCATGAATCTTACGCCTGAAACAGGTAGCAGCTGACGGCGACAAGTCGCTCGCATTCCTGTTTTGCACATGGAAGGTCCAGAGATCCATTTTCAGAAGTCGAATGTCTTTTTTTATAAGCCAATATAAATGTTGGAATAGTAACTAAAAAAACAGACCACGACTGGTTCACGACCATAACCTAAGCAGCTGAAAAAGTGTCGTTAAATAACCCCCCCCCCAAAAAAAAATCTGAATAAAAAACTACAGGGTGGGTGGGAAGTAAGTAGGCATGAAATAATATCTTTGCATTGGAAATATAGAGGTTATAACCACTTATAAATGCCTACTTACTTCCCACCCACCCTGTAGTTTCAGATACGAAGACTGACCAAGATATCAAAACTTTTGTTTCTAAATTCATTCATATTAAGACACGTTGTGTATCGCTCCATGTTCTTTGCCTTCGCAAAGTTCATGAAATGAACTCATAAGTGAGGAATTCATGCGTGCGTGTCTGTCTGTCTGTCCATCATCTTCGAAACTACAAAATATGAATTTGATTCAATTTTGTATTAGAATTTTCCACTAAACTTTGTTGCGTACCTGATGACGGAAACAGACCCTGTTAAATAAGATAAAAGACTTACATGGACGACGTTAAAGACATAATAATCGCGTTTTATAACAATAAATCATAGTCGAAGACATTTATCGAGAAGAAAATTGCCTAGAACTCGATCCGCGGGCGTCTTCCTCTCGAACAGATAATCACCAGGAAATAACAATAATGAGGTCAAATTTCAGCAAAATTTTGCTCGGCACAAATAATGACGTCCTCCCCCCCGTATTACGACACACTCACGACCTTCAGGGTTGTGAACAACACAGCGGAAGCCAGGTCACTTGTACCAAGGGGCCAAGCTACGCGTTGGCGTTCCTGGACTGGAATGCATCTGCAGTTAAAGGAGTTTGCTAGGAACTAATCACTTCAAATTAGCGACCTTCTCCTTACCGATAATTTCGGTAGTTGTGTAATATCCACCACGCTTCACTTACTTCTGTCCCTAAGGTCAAAGGTAAAAGCCGTCAACGAAGACAACATTCTTCGTAACCAGAGCACTAAAGAACCAGTTCAGTCGGAACCGCAACGCATGGATTGGTCAGAAAATTTTTCCGAATGATTTTCCATTACACGCGCCTTAAAATGGGACCTTCACTAAACCTAACCTGCGTTTCTGTTCCTTAAACTGTTCGTTCGGCGAGATGAGATGACGACGATAAAGTTGTCTCCGGAATAAACAAATTGTAGTTTCTGTTAATTTATTTTACAAAACAATATCGTGGCCCCGAAGTACCTCCCACTCTTTCTGCAAACATGATGAAAAATTCTTACTGTACTCTGCTTAACGCGGTCCATTATTAAAAATATTGTGTTGTAAAAAAACAGATAACAAATGAGATGAGATATGCGTCTCTCACGGCATTAAAGATGGCGATGCTGTTCTGGGCTGTGATGCCATGTAACTTGTAGATACGAAAGCCAGAAGTAAAACCTCCTTGGAAAGCTGATAGTTGCTCAATGAACTCCCCTATTGTTATCTAACTCGACAGATCATTCAACATTCGTGCTCACTCGTCACTATTATCAACCGGATAAATCCAATCCCATAAACCATCAAGTTAAAATTAACTTTAACACTCGTATTGTCGTCGCATCTACATCCAGATCTCCCAAATACTCTCTTTCCTGTCTTAATCAGTTCACAGTCGGATTTTACGTCATAAAAGTTTTAATAGTGAGTGCTGTGTGAACCTTTCGGCGTATGAGTTAAAAGCTGTGCAAATCCTTCCGCGCTTTATTCCGGACAAAGAACCCGATTCCGGGCTGTAACTGTGCCAGTGCGACGTGGCCTAGATTAAGAGGAAAATTTTCCCACTCGATGGACCCCCGTCAGGCGTCTCCTTTCGCCAGTGGGAAAATGTTCATTCACAAATACGAGTGAACAAGGCGAGGATATTCATCCGGGTAACAAATCTCGCAGCTGCAAACGAAAATACACATCACTAAAGGTTCATGAAAATTGATAAATTTGCCATGTTTTATTGTCTCCAAATACATAAGTCATTTTCGGATGCAGGTCTAATACGGAAATTTACACCTGTTTGCTAGGAACTAATCACTTCAAATTAGCGACCTTCTCCTTACCGATAATTTCGGTAGTTGTGTAATATCCACCACGCTTCACTTACTTCTGTCCCTAAGGTCAAAGGTAAAAGCCTTCAACGAAGACAACATTCTTCGTAACCAGAGCACTGAAGTACCAGTTCAGTCGGAACCGCAACGCATGGATTGGCCAGAAAATTTTTCCGAATGATTTTCCATTACACGCGCCTTAAAATGGGACCTTCACTAAACCTAACCTGCGTTTCTGTTCCTTAAACTGTTCGTTCGGCGAGATGAGATGACGACGATAAAGTTGTCTCCGGAATAAACAAATTGTAGTTTACAAAACAATATCGTGGCCCCACTCTTTCTGCAAACATGATGAAAAATTCTTACTGTACTCTGCTTAACGCGGTCCATTATTAAAAATATTGTGTTGTAAAAAAACAGATAACAAATGAGATGAGATATGCGTCTCTCACGGCATTAAAGATGGCGATGCTGTTCTGGGCTGTGATGCCATGTAACTTGTAGATACGAAAGCCAGAAGTAAAACCTCCTTGGAAAGCTGATAGTTGCTCAATGAACTCCCCTATTGTTAT